ATACATGATTTGTAGGACTCTGATGAGGACTCTTTCTGCCACATTGAGATTGGGACCCTCCTCGCTGAGAAGGTATTGTCCTCTCATCATCTTCATGGACCCCCCCCATCCCAACGCTGAGTCGCCACCTGCAGCTTCCATCCTGGCGTCTGCAGGAGTTCCGATCATCGCGATTGAGGAACAGGTGCAGTTGGTTGGTGCGATATTCCTCCTTCACCACCACCTGCCGTCAGTGCTGAGGTGAGTCAGACTCTCTAATTATACAGTGATGTTAGATTTGTGTATCAGCATGCTTTTAATTCCATCTATACTATTAATATTCCATCAACATAATGTATTAAAAATCAGGAACGTCCTCTCAAAGTGATGCAGACAAATTAGTTCATGCATTTGTTACTTCTAGACTAGATTATTGCATTTCTGTATTATCAGGCTGCTGTCATAAGTCTCTTGAGCCTCTCCAGTTGATTCAGAAGGCTGCAGCCTGTTCATTTAACTAGAACTAAGAAAAGGGATTATATTACTCCCGTAGTAGCTTCTCTGCTCTGGCTCCCTGTTAAATCGAGAACAGTATTTAAGGTTCCTTCTCCTTATTATATGTTCGCATTGAGTCCCTGAATATACCCCCATTTTTTCAGAATATTTGAACTTTAGGGGGCGCTGCTCTCATTCGCTGAATATTTGCTTGTTCTTCCAATTTCCATAGAATTTTGGATTTACAAACTAACAAACTCCTCAGAGTTTTAACCCGATAGCGCCACCTATTGGCAAAGGAAAATGCAGAAGTTAATACTTATCTGTGGAGGAGAAGTGTGATTAGCTCCCGTTCTCCCCCTTGACTGAATGGAGGTGATCCTACATGTTTCTTTTTGCAGGTCTTTGCACAGCGAGGCCAGTAGCCTACTGGTGTGGTCTTCTGTTTATGAAGCCACAGACCCCTTCTAATCCCGCACCCATCACTGATTTATTTGTCTTTTTGGCCGCGTGTCCGGCTGAGCGCTGTCCGTCCGTCGGGCAGCCCCCCCGACATGGCGAAGGCCCGTTCATCGCTGCTTGCTCCGATCCCATAAGTATGGGAGCCCATTTCCGCAACAAACCATACACATGTAAGTGATAGAAAGTGAAACTTCTGAGATAAAAAATCTAATTGTACGGTACTTGAACACGCGGAGTCCTTTAGCATAAGTACTTCATACAACAGAGCAATGACAAATACAAAATACTGGTGCCAGAAAATGTAACAAAATACAATACATGTGTATCATATAAAATGTTGGAAATACTTTTCGGTTTTCTCACAATTTGGTATAGCAGAGCATTCAGGTTTGGGTTATATAATGTCCAAAAAGGAAAGAAATAACAGTAACAATGTCCGTGTAACTCAGCAGCTTTTAAAAGACAACAATTAGATTTGTATTAATGGTACATTTTGTTTTTGTATCCACAAGCAAATATTCTTTCTCTCGTATACATATGAATAGCATCACGCATTCGTATACTATAAAAGCAAAACATAGAATCAAAACCGGTTGTTCCCGGGTAAAGAGACGCAGACACAGGCCTGGTTCCATCTGTGCTTGTTGATGGACACGTTGTCCACTCGGCCGACTGTGGAATGTATGAAATAATACAACTAAGAATACTTTCATAATTTGCCTTTTAAAGGAAATAAATTGGTTATTTAATGTTTTTATTTATTTATTTTTGGACAACGGCATCCATCTTCAGGAGGAGAACAGTGATACCACTGAGCAACAAGAGAAGACACATGACAAACCTGCTCTTTAGCGTCACTCTCAATACTTCTGCAACAGACGTGTGGAGATAATTATTTCCAATGTCATTCATGTTCGGAGCACTACAGTATTTGATGGTCAGTAGCAATGAGAGCATGACTCTTTTATCCCTTCAATTGTTTTTGGTTTGTGGCAGAAACAGACACGCATAAGATTAAGAATAATCAGAATATTCCAATCAAAATACATTAGGAAAGGTCTTCAAGGTCTCTTTTTTATGTTCTACCTCCATGTGCAGTCAGTCCTGCAGTAATTGTAAAGAATGTGAAGTGCTAAGTTTAAATATTGCAGTTGGCGGCCCAGGTCAAACCTCGGAGATGAACTCCAGTAACAGGTTTTTATCTGCCTATAAGAGAACGGTTTGTCCAAAAGGAAGGTGACCTTCAGCATTTGTCAGAGTGGGACACATGATGATGATGATGTCACAGTGATGTCATCTGTCAGGGACGTAATTACCGGGTGAAGCCCGTTCTGGCCTGAGCCTCACTCTCTGACAGGTAGAAGGGAGGAGACTGGCCTGGGGAGAAAGGGGGCGGAGCGTCGGGGGGGAGGGAAGAGACAGACAAACCTTTCTGAATAAACACACTTTCTAATTTTTCACTCTTTTGCAACTAAAGGCTTTGTTATTCATTCATGCATAATTAACAAAAAATTTGGCCTAAAGTACAATCAGACAAAATCCACTCGTCGTACTAAACGACCACATTACTGTCGGGGAAAAACATTTACTTCATCAAAGGAGATTAATGAATGAATGCCTTCGATGGTTTATTAAAAGTGAGAAAGCCAAATTAGATCTGAGTGGCTATTAACCGATCTGCAAAACATTATTAAGTCGGGTCCCACAGTCTTTCACCCGCTGTGCTTTCTTTCCAAACTGTGCTGCTCATGTCCCTGAAATGCATTCTTAGATGGATACAAATCACTTTATTTATTGTCAATGAACATGTAATGAAAATGTAATGACACATTTCTTTTCTTCCCGCTGACTCTGACTTTTACTTTAACACATAAGTGTTTCAAAGCCAAAGTAGAGACGCCCCGTTTAAAGTCCTGCCTGGTCTCCACCGTCTCACGTACCCAATCAATAAGGGAAAAGCGTTTTCTTCTGGATTACGTTCCCTCATATCTAACAGCAGGTTTTATGCACTTCGGTTGGGTGAGCCAAACCCTTATCTTTCAATAATGGTTTTTCTCATGTTTATTGCGGTTTTCCCCATTTGTTTGTTTTGTGTAATTTTACCACACTTTGATAACAGAATTCTACCTGATTAGTTTCTTTTGTATAATTCACCTTATAATTGTTTTGTTGCTTTATTTGTCTTTGTTGTCAAGCCGTGGACCAAGTATGACATTTTCCTAAATGTAGATCAGCAGTCCTTACAAAAGCATCTGAGCTGCAGATGAAATCATTATTTTACATCTCAACAGTGTCGGCGTTACGGGCGACTACACTGACACCCTAAATGAGTGGTGACAGATGACAGAGAAGGTTGGAGAGGGCCGTCGTGTTCAAGTACTGCCAAAAAACACATTATACAGCTCATCACGAAATATGTCGGAGACGTAACAAAAACTGAAGGACATAGAAGCTCCACAGATCGATAATATAGGACACTGTATGTGGACAGAAGCAGGGAGAAACACAGCAAGAGTGAGGCTGCAACACAACTGGTACGTCAAGAGAAGCACTGAAGGACAGAGGGACAGTGTGAGACAGAGAGACAGAAAATAAAGACGAGGCAGGGCAGTCAGAAAAGAAGGACGGACAGACATTTGGCGCCCTCCCCACAGATCAGCAGCGGGGCGAGACACAAACTTATGATTTGCCCTCTCCATCGAGGCTCCATAACTCACCCTCAGCCTCCCGCTCGCTGTCATCGCGCAAAGACCCGAGCTGGTTTGCAGGGTGAAATACGACCGGCCGTGCCGTCCCAGCGGCCCTCTCCAAAACAACGTCAGGCTGGAAAAATGGCAGGAGAAGGCTGGGGTTAATAGAGGCATCCTCCTCTTTTAATTGAAAAAGTAAAACGAGGCGACGGGGTGAGGATGTTATTACTGGGAATGAGACGGGAGTGGAGAGATGAATGGCGGCCTCTGATGTTGGGTTAATGAGGACACAGGGGAGCATGTAGCATACTGGACATGGGGGTCAAAACCGTCCACAAAGATAGAAGCTCGGTTCAGGACGTTCGGTGAATAGAGAGAACAACATTACAGGTGATAAAACTAAAAGCAAGTACATTTGATCCACGCCCACCTCTTTATATTGGACGACAGTTTGGACGTTCGGTTCAGATTTCTTGGTTTGGCAACCAATCAATGTAAAGAATGGGGAGCTGACGTAGCTGAGGAGGACAGGGCGAAGGCGTGCCATGCATTCTTTTTCAGTGTGCTTGCATAATTCCAATGTAAACCAAAACTAACGATCGAATGCAGACAAAAAAAAATCTCCCTACTTGGCATATGACCTAAATCGGTACTTTGTAATAGCAAAGTAATGAACCACCACATAGAAAGCAGCAAAAAGACTTCTTTATCTTGGAAGTAGTCGGTTGGTGAAACCAGTTTCACTTTGCCTTTTTGCTGCCGTGCACAGAAGTGGATGGAGCTTGTTCACAGACCGCTGATAAGATGTGGCTAAAAGCACTATTGTGAGGGGTCAGGACTTCGACTCAGGTGCAGAGCAATAAGGCAACAGAAAATTCTTTCAAGGTTTGGAATCTTTTACTAGGAGAGTAAACTAATGCAAAACAAAGGGGGCACAGGCAAAGGCGGAATCCTCACGCTCTTGTAGAAACAAAAAGGAAGAGAGCCTGGCAACAAAGTAGAAACAAGATTACAAAAACAGCACTGGGAATTTAACAACAAACATGTACCTCTAGGAACGACAAAAGATAACCTGACACAGACAAGTGGGGAACTGAGGCTTAAATACAGGTGGGGGTGATTACAAACTAAACTCAGCTGTGGGGGGAAACTAGATACAGGAAGTGCCGTGGTTACAAAATAACGAGGAGTACTAGTATCAGTAGTTGTGAGTGTAGCCGCGACCGCACTCTAGTGCTATCACACTAGCTCGACTGCTCGGGAAAGCGGTCGATTGAAATCCCTGATGAGGGATGGGTCATGAAGTTGGCGGCGGTTCCCACGACTTTTTCTTGTGGGCGGACCCCCTCCAAGTCCATAAAGTACTGACAGCCCCTACCCCGCCGTCGGACTGCCAACAGTCGCTTCACGGGTATACACGGGGCCCCCGTCGACGAGTCGGGGGGGCGGAGGGGGTCTGGAGGATGGGACCAGTGGGCTCTCCTTGACTGGCTTGACACGGGAAACATGGAACGTGGGGTGAATTCTCATGGTTCTGGGGAGGCGAAGACGGACGGCTGCCGGGTTGATCGCCTTGATTATTGGATAAGGGCCAATGAACTTCTGGGCCAACTTGCGGGACTCCACCCGAAGAGGTAAGTCCTTTGTAGACAGCCAGACCCTTTGTCCAGTTCGGTAACGGGGAGCAGGACTCCGATGCTGGTTTGCCCGCCTCTGGTACTGCGCCGATGCGCGAAGTAGGGCGCACCTCGCTCTTTTCCAGGTGAGGTGGCATCTGCGGACAAGGGCATGGGCCGAGGGAACCGAAACCTCCCCCTCCAGGTTGGGGAAGAGTGGGGGCTGATAGCCATACACGCACTGGAAGGGCGAAAAACCTGTGGCAGAAACGGGTAAAGAGTTATGGGCATATTCTATCCAGATGAGATGCTTACTCCATGCCTTGGGGTTCTGCGAGACTATGCAGCGCAACCCAGTCTCCATCTCCTGGTTGTATCGCTCTAGTCTGGCCATTGGACTGGGGGTGATACCCAGATGATAGGCTGGCCGTGGCCCCAACCAGAGAGCAAAACTCCTTCCAAAAGTGCGACGTGAATTGCGGGCCCCGGTCAGAAACAACGTCCTGCGGGAGACCATGTAGCCTAAAAACGTTAGACAGGAGAGCCTCTGCCGTCTCCTTGGCGGAGGGTAATTTTCTCAGGGGGATGAAGTGAGCCATCTTAGAAAACCGGTCAATGACTGAGAGGATGACTGTATTACCTTCAGAGGCTGGGAGACCAGAGACGAAATCAATGGAGATGTGGGACCATGGCCGCCGGGGGGTGGGGAGAGGCCGGAGTAAGCCAGCTGGTGGACGACGTGAGGGTTTGCTCTGGGAGCAGACAGGGCATGCAGCAACATACTCCCTCACCTCCTTCATCATGGCAGGCCACCAGAACCGTTGTTGAAGAAAGCTCAGGGTTCGGCCGCTGCCCGGGTGGCAGGTAAGTTGAGAGGTATGTCCCCAGTGAATGACCCGGGACCGCAGGGACTTGGGAACAAATAGGCGGTTAGGTGGGCAACCCTTGGGGACTCTTACCCTCTTGAGAGCTCCCTTAACCTCTTCCTCGACTCCCCATGTCACTGCCCCAACTGTGCAAAAAGGGGGCAAGATGGTGGACGGTGCAGCCAATGGAGCGTCCGGGTCGAATAGTCTTGAAAGGGCATCCGGCTTTGTGTTCTTAGATCCTGGACGGTAAGAAAGAGAGAAGTTGAAACGGGTGAAGAATAAGGCCCACCTGGCTTGTCGGGAGTTGAGTCGCTTAGCTGATCTGATGTACTCCAGGTTCCTGTGGTCGGTCCAGACCAAAAACGGATGTTCTGTCCCCTCGAGCCAGTGCCTCCACTCCTCTAGGGCCAGCTTGATTGCTAGTAGTTCTCGGTTGCCCACATCATAGTTTCTCTCTGCGGGCGACAATTTCCTGGAAAAGAACGCACATGGATGAACCTTATTGTCGACCGCAGAGCGTTGGGACAGTACTGCTCCCACCCCAAGATTAGAGGCATCGACTTCGACAATGAATTGAAGCTTGGGGTCAGCATGAGTCAGGATTGGGGCGGAACAGAATAGCTTCTTCAGGCCCTGGAAGGCCTGTTCTGTGGCCGGGGTCCACTGAAAGCTAGTAGCCGTGGACGTGAGAGCATGGAGAGGGGCGGCTATGGAGCTATAATTCCGGATGAAACGTCTATAAAAGTTAGCAAACCCCAGGAATCTCTGCAGTTGCTTGCGGGTTCCGGGCTGGGGCCACTCTGCTACAGCACTAACCTTTGCAGGGTCCATCCGCACACTTCCTGACGACACAATAAAACCCAGGAATGACACCTCTGGGGCATGAAATACACACTTTTCTGCCTTGACAAAGAGCTGATTCTCGAGCATGTACTGTCAGAACCTGGCGGACATGTTGAGTATGCTCCTGCTCTGACCTGGAAAAGATCAGAAATATCATCCAGGTAGACAAACACAAATCTGTTTAGCAAGTCCCGGAGTACATCGTTCACTAAGGCCTGGAACACCGCAGGGGCATTAGTCAGACCAAAAGGCATGACCAGGTACTCGTAGTGTCCGCTGGGTCGTGTTGAATGCAGTCTTCCATTCGTCCCCTTGCCCTAATACGCACAAGGTGGTATGCATTCCTGAGGTCGAGTTTGCTGAATATGGTTGCGCCTTGTAACAGCTCAAAAGCAGAGGAAATTAAAGGGAGGGGGTACCTGTTTTTGGTGGTTATTTCGTTAAGACCCCTGTAATCTATACAGGGGCGTAGGGATTTGTCCTTCTTCTCAACGAAAAAGAATCCAGCTCCAGCTGGAGAGGACGACGGCCGGATGATGCCGGCAGCCAAGGAGCTCTGGATGTAGGTCTCCATGGCCTCTTGCTCCGGTGCAGACAGGGAGTAGAGACGGCCTCTCGGAGGTGAAGTACCTGGTAGGAGGTCAATACCACAATCATAGGGACGGTGCGGTGGCAGGGAAGTAGCGCGAGCCTTGTTGAAGACCTCCTTTAAGTCCTCGTAGGCGGGGGGAACAGAAGTAATGTCGGGAAACTCTGAAACAATGTTAATAGGTTTCGGAGAGGCTGCAGCAGAGGTTAGGCAGGTGGCATGGCATTGATTTCCCCAACCCAAAATTAACCCAGACGACCAGTCAATATGGGGGTTGTGTTCCTTTAACCAAGGATTACCCAGAATCAGGACTGCTTGCGGTGAATGGATGAGGTGGAATGATATTTGTTCAGAGTGATTACCTGATAGTAGAAGGCCCACAGGCTGGGTGCGGTGAGTAACCCGGAACAGTAGTCTCCCATCCAGCGCGTTCGCCACCAGAGGGTGAGGAAGGGGCTCTGTAGTCAGCCCTAGTTCCTTTGCCAAACTGTGGTCCATAAAGCTAGCGTCAGCCCCAGAGTCTATGAAGGCCGACAGACTTACTGACTGGGTCGCGGTGAACACCCGGGCACGGGTAAGAGGTCTGGATCAGGAAGGTTCGGACGTGGCGAGCTCACCAGTAACCTCCGGTCTACTGATGAGCCTGTCTTTTGCTGGGCAATGGGCAAGGATGTAGTCAGGTTGTCCGCAGTAAAAGCAGCTCCCCTCTTTG